TCAGCCTGATATTAGAACCACGAGCCCCACAAAGGCGCGCGCTTCAGCTGTGCGCTGCGACAAGTGTTTCACAGGTGCTGATGGCGCGAGACAGACCGACAGACAGACAGACAGACAGACAGTCAGACAGACAGTCAGACAGACAGACAGTCGATGGCTGAAGCGGAGCGCGAGCTGTGGCGCGTGCGTCTTCCGAGAAGCGTTTCCCCGCAACCAGGAGAAAATACGGACAAGTTAACTGATGTCGGAGCTCTTCTTTTATCTTAAAACCTCTTATTTCGATTTTTGTGTTTAGATAAGAATAAAAAAAAATAAAAATAAATTTGAATAAATTTTCCTGTTAGATATTCATCTAACTCTCTGCTTTCTGCTGGGAATCTGACCTTTGCTGTCACGACTAAGATCTGGTTTGGCTCTGGAAATATTTTCTGTTTGTGTCAAATAATAATTATTTTTTTTATTTATAATGCCACTTATCTAAAATGGTTCAACTCTACATACTTAGTTTGGAAAAATGTAAATGAAATAGAAAACTAAATGATTTAAATGGACCAATGAAAGCAGACTGTTTAGGTGTATCACTATATGAGGCTGTAGTCAGTTAAAAATGTAAAATACAGACAGTTTTAAAGCAGAAGGTGAAAATGAGAACAAGTTGAACTGATTTTACTGAAATAGATCCAGGCGGTTGCCTCATTGGGAGGCAGCGGCGCCTGATGCGCACCGCACAGCTTCTGCGCGTCTAAACTCACCTCTCCGCATTTCTTCTCCTGGTGGAATCCAAAGCGTCTTTCTAAAAAATCTCCCCTGATCGGCTCATTGTAAACGGATCCACGAGAGGATTTCACGAAATCCAACTTTCCAGCAACGGCAGCAGTAAATCCATCAGAGGCGAGAGGCGCGCTCCAACCGGCAGCTCCGCTCGGATGTGATGGGGAACCTGGAACTGGGAGGAAATGAGCCGGGCATCCCCCCCTTTAGTCCGATCCCACCTCAGATGGAGCGCAGTGGGGATGGTGAGGCAGGGCTGGTGCGCTCAGACGGGCTGCTATCCAAAGGACGCACACGCATTTATTGGGGATGGAGACAAAGGGAGAGAGGAGGAGAGGCGGAGAGACGCTCCGGGCTGAGTGTGAGGAGCGCTCCTCCTGAGCGCAGCTCATTTAAGCCGCGCTGCTGCTGCTGCTTACATCAATGAGCGGCTGTCACCAGCGTCGTCAAGGTAGACTCAGCAGACAGCTTCACCTTCCGGTTTGCAATATTTATCTTAAAAAAAAACGAATAAATTAAGAAGAAATTCAAATAAATCAAAATACATTTTATTGGTTCATTCAGGGAGCGATTCATCAATATATCAGAAATGGAAAAGATCATTTTCTATAATCAAAAAAACATATTTCCTACTTCAAGGCACCATAAATCACAGCTCGACCAATACCTTCTTTAAATGTTTCACCATTTTTAATTTAGATTTTCCAATAAGAAGTGCTGTTATGTTTTCATTACCTTTTACAACGTGTGCATTAATTATTAGGTGTTTTGAGGTTTATTACCAACAAATCTGTCAAAAGAAGGTTTTTGAACCTCTGATCTGTTCCAAGAAGGTAAAAATGAGGCTTTGACTAAGAGAAAAAATATGCATGCACAATTATTGGGGGAGTGGAACCTTTGCAAATTATCATGCAATTTATATTTAGGAAAAAAACAACATTTCTGACATTTTACAGAACAAAGGAAACCAGTACAGCCTTTTATCTTTTAACACCAGTCCTTCTTCTTCTTGATCAATTGATGATCAACTTTAAGTGTCGCAGCAAAACTCCTCCTCCAGGAAGTTTAGAGGTGGAATGTTCTCTGAATCTCTCGTTTAAAAACGGTCCACGAAGAAAAGTTCTCATTCGTTGGAACATTGCCTAAATGCACATCCAGCTTTAAAGATGTTGACATGTCTCAACCATTGAAGATGGATGTGTTTTGTCATCTAAAAACTGGCAGTAGGTAGAGGAATTGATTTAGAATGAAAAGGTCCAGCTATCCTACCTTTAATGATGAAAACCCCACAGCACTACCACTCCTCTACCTTGCTCTGGGCCTGTTACTGATCCATTGGTTTGGCTCAGTGAAATTTCAGCAGAGGTTCAGTTGGTTCTTTGCTGTGTCTTGATGTTCTAACTTGTTCAGAGGAGGTCAGGTTTCAGTCTGTCTCACTTTGGCCATTGTTTGTGTAGTGAACAGATCACACTACTGGGTCTTTCAGGAAGGTTGAGGTCAGCTCTGTGCTGAAAAAATACCCTGAACCCTATAATGCTCCATAGGGGCAACAAGCTGCTCCCTAATCGATTTGGTTAAACTTAGAGAACATTCTTATTTTTAAAAGTCATTCCTATTGTTCGCTCGTAGAGTTTAGTATACAGCAGTAATGGAGGGAAAGGAGATCCATCCAATTTCTCCAACCTTTAATTAATAAATTGGCTCTTTTATTTATTTTGTTTAGCTTGCTAACTTTGTTGACTATTTTAAGCATTTTGAATGTTTCTGTTGTCAGAACCCAATACCTGCTTCCTAGTTTGTTTCCTGTTTCTCTGACTGTGACTAACTGGATGTGCTCTCTTCATCCTCTGACATGGGAGCTGGCTCGGAGCTCGTCTGCCTGGCTGTGTTTCCTGGATGGGGCCGCCTTCTACAGCTGCTTTTTGTGTCTCTGCTTCTGTCTCCTTGAACCCCATTCGGCCTCAGCAGATGGCCGCTCACACTGAGCCTGGTTCTGATGGAGGTTTCTTCCTGTTAAAATTTTCTGGTTGTCCTTAAATAAAAAACTTCGATCTAATCTGACTGCCTGATCTGGTTTAATTGTCTCTCTAAAGTGCCTTGAGATGTGTGGTGAATTGGCGCTAAAAGTGAGTTTTTCCTCTCCACTGTCGCTACAAGCATGCTCAGTGTGAGGGATTGCTGAAGAGTCAATGAGTCGATGCAATCAACTGGTTTTCATTAGATAGAAAACTTTGAATCAATCTGACTGGATGATCTGGTGTATGGAAGCAAATCGTTACCATATTTAAAATGAAAAAGCATTTTCAGAAATACTTTTTCATTTTAAGAATGTGGCTGCATTGTTTGACTCATAAATGAAATTTACATTTCAAATTGAATTTTGGTATGTATTTGCTGGGGTACATTTTGAAAAATAAATCTCAAATGTCTTTTTCTTTTTCATTTTAATTAAGTAAAAGGATGAGCTGTTTTAAAGAAGAAAATGAAAATGCAAACAGAATTACTAATTTAATTTCAGTCAAGTAATGCAGCCAACTTCTTAAAATGATAAAGCATTTCTGAAAATGCTTTATCATTTTAAATATGGTAACGATTTGCTTCCATACTGGTGAACTGTAAAGTGCCTTTAGATGATGTGTTGTGAATCGGCGCTATAGAAATAAACCATGGCCCAGTTTTGTACTTCTTGATGACCTCTCCAAAAAACAAACTGAGCTAAACTCTATATAG